TAACTAACTAACTAACTAACTAACTAACTAACTAACTAAGTAAGTAAGTAAGTAAGTAAGTAAGTAAGTAAGTAAGTAAGTAAGAGAGCCTTTAAGTAAAAGAGCCTTTCACAGAAATATATTCACAAGGTGCTGTACAATCATTAACAGTATAAAAATGGTGAAAATAATAAAATGAAACAGAAAAACATAATTACACATAAGCAACGGAAATTGAAACATCAAATCAGGAATTAATTTCTAAAACTGTAAATCAAACACAAGGTCAGTGCAGGTCAAAATATACAGTAATACACAAAAACATAATGRATGYRGGAGAGAAAATATGGCGTAAGTTCAATCGTAAAGAAAACAGATTAGCATGACAAAATGTTGATGCATGATGAACATATCAAATACYTTCTCTTTTTGGCACAGAGGCAAATTGTCATGCGTCTATGTTTAGTGAAACAAAATTCCACTTAGGCAAACAAACAAATACATGCTTGGATTAATTGGATTTACAGACGTCAGTCAGGTCTAGCATTTATGAACGAAGACTAAATAAACACAACCCAGTGTTGCCTTCAAGTACTTGGTAAATATTATGTAACGTATTTTTCTAAGAATTCGGCTGATAAAATTTCAGCTTAACTTTTCGACAATCAGGCATTATTTTATCACTGGTTGGCACATTTATGTGTGTGGTGGAGTAACACGCAAATTAGAGAAAAATGTTTATGCGAAAGAGGAGCTTTTGGGCAATGGTTTTCAAAAAAAAAAACGGATTCTGCCTCTGCACGTGAACGCAGCATGAAATGTGAAAAATGGGCAGGTTTGCGCATGCGCAGYGGCAGTGTTTGCGTTCCCTCCTGCGAGGACTGACAGTCCTTACTGTTTTCACCGGCAATGATACAGCAAACACGGTGAAGATACGGCCGAGATGGACTTGCCGAGCAATTTTTATCACTACAAGGACGGATACTATTTAGCTGCCATCGTCTTTCAACCGTAGCCGAGGACATTAATATTTTCCCCTGTCTCTTGGAGGAAGAGGACGACCGGGGGAGAGGGAATAATCATGGATGCGACGGCTGGTTTCCTGCGACACACTACTCCTGGCAGCTAGAGGGCTTCCAGATATTCACTTTGAAGGTTTTATAGGACATAATTTCCTTCATTGTGGTTAAATGTCACATAAATGTCAGTGAAATATTCGTAGTTGAAAGAAAAAAAGAGACACGAATTACCTAAAATAGCATGGCTAATCGCTGCTGTCGAGCTAGTTGCAGCTACCTGACGGCTATCTGAATTCGGCAGCGTTCAGTGTTCATGAAGCTGGAATAATACAGAAGAGGAAGGTTCTTCTAATCATATGACTCTCCAGTTATTGGCCTTAAGGTAAACATGCACCATCAGGACTTCTCCGGGGACCCGCCGGCGACAGGGAGCCGAAAAACGGCTCACCACTTCCGGAGAGGCAGCAGCGGGGGGAACCCGCTCGCAGAGGAGAACCAGAGCCAGCCCGGGTCTTCCTCCCCGGCTCTTCATCACCAGCCCCAAAGCRTGAAGAAGAAAAGTGGCTTCCAGATAACGAGCGTCACCTCGGCTCAGATCAGTGGCAACAACAGTTTAGCGGATGACACCGAGAGCTATGATGACATGGATGAGTCCCACACCGAGGACCTCTCCTCCTCTGACATGCTGGATGTCTCCACGTCCAAGGCCACAGACACAGGTGTGCCGGRGAGGAGCTCCTCCGATGAGACGCTCAACAGCCTCCATGGGGTGGACACACCTGGAATCGTGTCTCCAAACGAGCCCATCCAGCTTCATGTYGTCTCTCAAGGGTCCCAGCAGCACTCCTCCTTGGTGAATGGGTCCACGCACCACCAATATTACCCTCACCATCATCACTCTGACAGCGTGGGAGGAGCTGAACCAGCAACTCTGCCCATTGCACCCTTGGCCACCTCCAGCCCAGCTTCCAAAGCTGGGTCCAGCAAGTCCCAGAGGCCGCCGGTCTTGGATAACCCCAAACCAGCWCAAGTAGCTCCTGATGTTCAAAGCGGTGCAAAGATTTCTAACACCGCGGGGTTTGAAAACACTAATGTCAGGGTGCAAGCGGCCCCGGCTGGGCACGGCACTCAAACCCAGCACGCCCACACTCAGACTGCGACGGGCTCACGTTTTAGGGTGGTCAAACTGGACACAAACTCGGAGTCGTTCCGCAAAGGGAGATGGRCGTGCACCGAGTACTACGAGAAGGAGGTGCCTCATCCTGCTCCCTCTGAGGCTCCAAAAGCCTCCGACGTGGCRGCGGAGTCTGAGGCAGGAAACGCCGGGGTGAGTCCAGGCATCACCGCAGTGCAGCCTCCTCACACGCTGCAGCCCTACCAGCCGCCAAGCCWGGACTTCACCAGCCCACAGGCGGTGCCGAGCCCCCAACAGCCACTGGCACACAGCCTGAGTTACATTTCACCTCAGGAGGTCATTGGGACAGGTCACGGGCAAAAACCAGTGGTTCCTGTCAACGTGACGCAGCAGCCGCCTCCTGTCGTACCTCAGCCTCTGCCCTATCCTGTGGAGACTCCCCAGGGAGGTTATCCCATACCTCAGCACCACACAGCGGGGGRGTTGCCCACAGGAAGTGTGAGACAGCCAGACTTCATCCAGCCTACCGCTCCTTTCCAGACACAAGTACCACCTCCTCTTCCACCTGTCGCAGCAGGCATCTCTTCACCGGTGCCAGGGGTCTTAGCACCGCAGCCCATCAGYATCCCACAGCAAGCGCTGCCCCTTCAGGGTCCCGTAGCCCCGCCTGTGTCTGCAGCTTTCTCCGTAGCGCAGCCGCCAACCCTCCCCGTTCAACCCCAGCCCCACCCAAAGCCACCGATCCAGCACCCCTCCGTAGCGCCCGTCCCGGGGACCACCTACAAGCCGCTGACTGCCCTCCGAGCCGACCTCCAACCCCTGCTCTCCCTGGGAACGAACCTCGTCCACGCTCCTGGCGGCGGCAGCTCCATCAAAAGCTCCCAGCTSGAGGACGCCCAGAAGCTCCTGATCCAGCACCAAGGCCTGCTGGGTCTGCCCCGTCTGGGGGGCGCGGCAGAGGGTGGCGGTGCAGCTGGGATGTCAGCTGAGGCCAGTGCCTTCATGGTCGCCGCCGGCCTCAGGAGTCAGCACGCTGACGGAGAGGAGGACAGGTGAGGAAGATGAGCAGTTCTTTTGTAGATTTCTAACCAAACAAAAAGCTTGTGATCTCATTAATGCTGTTATTATTGCTCAGTTAATGCAGTAAACTATTAAACACATTTCATTTATCACACTTTGCTTTAAGATGACATTGTATTCATTTGTATATTGTGTTAGTAGAATATCGTACCGCTGGATAAATTTGAAGGAAATCTCTAGAACGTAGTCACTAAGTGCTCATCTACTACAAGTGATTTCTTGTACGTTTTTGACTCGGCACCATTCAATATGGCCGCCACAGCGACGGGACCTTTGCAAACACAAAAACGGCTGCAGCTTAAATAGCTAAAGTTTGGTGTGGTAGTAGGTGAGGGTTGGGCTCACTGCATACAAATTGTGACGTTTTTGCCATGCTGCGTGAGCTCGCACGACATTTTCAAGATTTGTCCCAAAAACCTCTGGCATGAACCCTGCCTTTAATGAAAAGAAGAASCTGATTGCAAAGTTTGGCTAGAGATTGTCGTTCCTACACGGTGCCTGCAGCTTTCGTCCTGCCAACCTGCGGTGATCGGGCTCATTTTGGCGAGTTAATTCAAGTTAGGTGCCACAATGGCTCCATCCTTTGAGTTTCTCCATGAAAGCTTTCTGAAAACTGCATTAATAGCTGTTGGGAAACGTCAGAGTCTGACTCAGAAGCAGTTGAGCTGCTGAGTCACTAGGGGCGATGGTGATTCAGCAGATGCTGTTGACCCCTCCATCTATCTCACATTCATCACCTCTCTGACCACGTATTCCTGTTCTGCCTCATGATGCTCATCCTTTTCTTGTCTGTTCCTCCTTCCTTCTGCTCCCTCTAGGTTTTAGTCTTTTAATAGACCGTTCATTAGTTCCACTCCAGGGGTAGCGCTGCCACTGCATGTGTTTATATATGTGTAGATGAATTAAAGGCTGCATGTGTTTATATATGTGTAGATGAATTAAAGGCTGCATGTGTAATAGGGTTGGGCATAATCGTATCGTGTGCAATTAATCGTCAGAAAAAGAATCAATTATTTTTTGGCACTTGACGATTAATACGATTAATACGATTAAATGCCACCAGGCAGAGTCCGCTCGGTGCTCCTGTCCACTTCAAATATGATGAACATTAAAAAAGTTCTGTAATTTATTTATCTATCAACTAGGGCTGTGTATTGGCAAGAATTTGGCGATACGATACTTATCATGACAGAGGGGTCAGGATACGATATATCCC